ATTTTGCAATATAGCTCTTTAAAGTTTATATTTTCTTATGATTTATGATAAAATTTATAACATAAAAATCGATTTTCCGAAGATCTTTTTTTTGTGAGTTTGGGCCCTTTCTACTGCAAAGGCCTCATTTATTCTATGGGTAATGAAAAAAATAGATTTATAGTTGTCTTAACATGTGCAGCAGGGATTTTAATTTATTTTTTATTTTTTTTTATTATTATTTTTTAAACATTTTATTTACTAATACTATTTTTATTATTATAGATGGGACAAAGCTCTCTCTATTTGTATCTTCAAGAGAAACGATTGACATATAAAGAGCAAAGGCAAATTTCTCCTGGCATTGTAGTTTGGTTTCAAACCAATGGTTGGATTGATACCAAATTAATAATAAAATATGTGAACTACCTTCATGAATTAAGGCTAAAAAATAGGACCAAGAATAATTCAGGAATGTTGATGTATGATTCTTTTAAGGACCATTTAGATGATTTAGTTAAAAGCAAGCTTTGTAAGTGTGGCTTTAACCTAGCAGTTATTCTCGCAGGTTTAACTTGCATGTGCCAACCACTTGATATTGCTATTAACAAACCATTCAAGAATAATTTGTGTAAAGAATGGCATGCATGAATGGAAAAAGGTGGTGCTGGTAAAACTACTGCAGGAAATCTTCGCCATGCTTGAATAGGTGATGTATGCACTTGGGTTAAGAATTCGTAAGAAGGAATTTCTAATGAAATAATTATAGAATCTTTTAAGACTTGTAAAATTTTAGATGATTCAAATGAATCAGATTTTGATTTAGAAATTATTGATCTTTGCGATGCTGATGATGATGATAATCCCAAAAAGGATAAACATAATGAATTTATTCATTATCAAAATTCTGCTAAAATTGGAAGTTCTACTGTGATAAATAACTTTGGATATTGCTATCAAAATGGAGTAGAAATCAACAAAGTTGATGAAAGTGATGAAAGCAATGCCATTGATAGTAATGGAAATGTTAGTAATGATTATGGTTTCGATGATGCATAATTAAGGTAATTTAGTAATTTATATTTTATTTTAATAATGTATTGTGATAATAATTGAATTGGTTATATAGAGTGACACAAATTTTACACTTGCACGATTAACTATTCAGAGTTGAAGTTATATATAAAGCCATTAAAGCCATGAAGTGAAAATAAAAAAAAGATAAAAAAATGCTGTTAGAAAAAAAAAAAAAAAAAAAAGAGAAAATAACAATTACTGGTACTTTTTTGGGTGGATTATAGTTTAAAATGCAAGAAGAAAAAAATTCTTAAAATATAATGCAGTTTTTTATTAAATTTGATTCTTAATTGTACAATTTAATAAAAATAAAGTCTTCTTGCGGCAGTGTTAGCTTTGAAATATCTGTTGTACATGCTTAAAATAACTTATATTTTAATTATTTATATATGCTAATATAAGCATGTATTAATAAAATTGGCGGTTTTCTATTTTGCTTCGGGGTGCTTATTTTCGGGTATATACGAATTGCAGGGGTGCTTATTTTCGGAGGAATACGGTACTTACATTACAGTATTATCTTGCCTAAATCTATCCCATTGGGATCAAGACGCACAATGTTTCGGCGAAATGATTTTTATTTGAGGAACCATATACGTACGTATTTTGATTTATCATTATATAATGTGATAATTATGAATTTATGATTTAAAAAAAAATAACAATTATACGTATACATATGCACTTATTATGTGTTTAAAATGTTCGCATAAGTCGGCCAGGGCGGCCTCCTCAAAGTGTGTTACATAAGCCGCAGTCACGGCATAAAGTTATTGGAATAATTTTATATACCGTGACTGCGGCTTATGTAACAGCACTTCGAGAGGGCTAAAACGACACAGTATACGGCAGCCATTTATTGCGCTGCTGCCCATTGTTTGAAGTATCGATTTTGATACATCAAATTTACGAGTAATTGTTTGAAGTATCGATTTTGATACATCAAATTTACGAGTAATTGTTTGAAGTATCGATTTTGATACATCAAATTTACGAGTAATAAAATTTTAATATAATATGAATCAAAAACTTATTGAATAGCCGGTATTTACTATGTGTTGTTTTAGCCCTGGGCCACCCTGGCCGAATAAAAATTAATATGTATCACAATTTATCAATTTATGCATATATATGGATGGACTCCCTATATAAAAAATTTACCTGAATCAAATAAAAACTCAAAATTTCAATTCCAATCCCTTTCTGCTGCAAAGACTCCATAAATTTTTTCGAGGAGAAGTTTGTAAATGTTATGGTTGAAGTTGCCCCCTACTTAGAGTTACAAATTTAGATACTTGAGATTATCCGAGATTAGATAATTTTTTTCAAGAGGAACAACTTCAGACACGACTAGCGTAACATTTTTTTTTGATACATATGACCTTGGTCATATAAATTATACGTGTGACTTTAGTTCGTATTGGTCATATTAAACGCTAATAAAATAATAATAATAATAATAATTTGGCCAATAGTAACATGACAACACAGCACATATACTGTACGTATAACTGATAAATCTACATAGTGAATAAAGTATATATATATATATTATATATATATAGCTAAATATACATTATGCTTTTATTGTAATATATAAAACAAACAAAAGTATTTGTCAATAAATGAGAAGATTAATCATGACTACGTATAAAACGCGCGTTATTATTAAATGTAAGCATTATAAACTTTAGGATATCAATATAATCCTATAATTTCATTCGTAGATTAAACAATCTTTAATTAAATAGCATAAGAAATTAAAATAACAAATGAGGCCACGATGATAGTATTCACAATCATTGTAAAGCCAATAAAAGATGTATCGTGCATAGAGATACCGCCACTTTTTGCAGAACCAGTACTACTAGTAGGTTTAGAAGAACTAGTACTACTACTAGTATGTTTAGAACTAGTAGGCGTTGGAACAGTCCCATCTACATAATAAAAAAATAATTTTACGTTTGAGATATATATATACACATATATATATATATATATTGTATATATATAACTTACCTAAGAAAGAAGCACCGCATTTTGTTGTAACCGTATTTTGAAATTGTGTCGTATTAGTTGATAATTCGGTCAAGGATTCAGGATGAGCTTTAAAGTAATTCACAAAAGTGTTTAAAATAGCTTTATTACAATCGGTACAATTAATAATAGTGGGAGGAGTAACACTCAATCCACTAATGTAAATTAATATCGAAGCACTATTTAAATCCAAGTCACAATATCCTCCAGAAGAGTTCTTAAAGCACAGGGAATCCTTTAGCGGAGAATTGAAAACAAGAGATTGTTTTATCGTATAAACGGTAGGATCATTTGCGGTAAGATCTGTTGCGCACTGACTTTTAAGTTCAGTAGCATAAGCAGAAGTGGTATTGTCACTGCATTTGGGAGCGGAACAATAACTATCTAAGACTGGTGTTGGGTTAGTTGCATTTAGCAATTGTGTTAACTTGATAAATGAAGCGCAACTGTTGAGGTCTGAACTTACAAAAAGTTTAGTAAGTTCTCCTAAACATGAAATGGAAAGATTTGTTGGTATTTGTTGTGCAGAAACAAAATTGAATGCTACGAACATGAAAATGGAGAGTGAACTTATTGATAGGAATTTCATGATTGAGTTAAATTTAAAATTTTTTGAGAAAGGTAACTAAAATCGGTCGATTTTATGAAGGAAGGAAGCAAAGTCCATTTAAATAAGATATTCAAAGATGCAAGGATTAAACCCGAATATTCGGCCATGTGTTCGATTTACCTATAGCGATAGCGATAGCGATAGGAAACAATTTAAAAATTTAAAATTAACATAGACATGCACGAACCAGCCAACGAAAATTACTTGGCAAATACGTTATCTGTTGATCACCAGAATACTAAATATATAGACTTTTTTTT